CTGTGACGGATGGTAACAATTGATCGATTCTCAATAAAAGAATGATAATAAACAGAACAGACGAAGTATGAATCATAATCACCCAGCAGTTACTGGTCCAGCTTTTCTGGCTTTGGCTCTACCATTGCACTCGTCCTCTCCTTTCTCCTAACCCAATGTCTACTCCAGCCAGCTGTACTGGCCAGTCTTGGGTTCGTATTCTCTGAATTCTCCGCCATAGACAAATATACATGATGAACAACTCGGTCTTTGAATTCAATATTCACCCACGCCCCCCTTCTCCATGCTCGTACGTATAAGAGATATTCATATCGATTCGCCATAATCACTCAAAACAATTTCCAAAACATTGTAATCGTGTTTTTATTGGTTCGTCTTAGACTTTCTTTACCTGGCTGAGTATGTCATCATTGAGTACACCTCCTGTGTCTTCGACTAAAAACTCGGTAAGTGCTCTGATCTGTTAATTCTGGATCTTGCTATTTGATAGGAGACCTGACTACGCTTTATCCAACAAAGGCATATGGGCTAATGTTATAGATGAGATTTTCAAATAGATCATTCAATAAACGCTACTCTACAGCGTGTATATATATATATATATATATTGCTCTTTCAATTAAAGTTAACGAATATCATTTCCTTCGTGAATATCTGCAATTCCCTCGGTAACTATGTAATACTAAAAATGAGATGGTGCTGACTACGAACCAATTTCATCTGCTTGAAAGAGAAGAGAAATTGGCGTCATTCATGACGGGCTTCGTGGCTTTACTTTGTAAAAGATACCAACGTAATTATTGGTATCTCTTTCAACCGTAGAATAGGTATATTCAGTTAGGTACTCGCTCCAACCGTAAACCCTCTCGCAGCTTTTCACTGGAAGCTTCTGCTTTTTTTTTCTTCTTTTACCTCCTTCACTCTCTCTTCTAACGATAAGGCCTTACGTCACGTGGCTTTTCTTTATTAGCACGAAGATACCTAACCTTAATTTCGTGGGTGTTATTCTTCCTATGTTTCGGCGGTTTTCCTTTTACGCGAGAGAGCTGATTTCCCTTTGGAGAAAAATCGTCTTTTTTTTACCTGTCACCAAGAGGCAGCCTTTGGACGACTGTTCTCTCGCATCGATTATTTATTGAGCTCTAACGAAAATCGAATGCAACGAAAAAAAGTGATGGGATAAAATATAATTTAACGTTTATTTTATTATTTTATTGTCAAAGCCATTGCGATATAACAATAATTTTTGTTCATTGTACGTTATTGATGTCGCGCGTGCGACATATCGTAATGTTCAATTTGATCCATGATGGTGAAATATGAATTAATACAGTAACAATAATGGTTGGCACATTCAGTGAATTTTCGATAAATGCCAAATATTCGTGCATTCCCAATATATGAAAAATATTTATGGCATATACGTTAGAGTTTAAATGGTTTGCAAACGAGAGAATGAAATGTTGCAAGTAAAGAGACTTTGGTATTTGAGTAAAAAATTGTTCTCGCGTACCGTTGGGAGACGCACTCAACGACTCCGCTGGGAAATACTTCTACCGCGAGCAACAGTCCGATAATGTGGAGTCACGCAGGCAGGTACCTACGTAGGTTCAACTAAATACCAGACGAAACGGGGTCAGTAAAATCAACAACCTGTTGATATTTGGCTGACCATTGCATTTAAGAAGTCGAGAACGTAACTGGGGATATCGCTTTAAATTACATTTAATTATATCCGACTATCGTCCGCTGCGAAGGTATATATGTATACACAAGTGTATCCCAGTGATATCTCTAAATATTGAATTGCCTTCGAGCAGCTCCGCGCTTACTTTTTGCTTTAACAAGATTTCATGTACTTCTGACATTTTCTCCGATACACAAATATATATTCGATATATTTTAAGATCACGAAATATCGGCGACTCCGAAAGAACGTGTCGTAATATTAATTTAGTTGAAGTAAATATTTTCTATTTATATCGCAAATTGAAAATTCATTGATAAAATGGTAAATATTTTTCTTTGACAGGGTAGAGATCGTTGTTACCAACCGAGAATTTCACTCGAGAGCTATAACACTGCTTGTTCGATATCAATTACGTTTATTGTACCCATCGCGGAATGGCGAGAGTGGGTATCTCTATAAACTTATGAGAGAAGTTCTGCCGCGACTTTGTTCAGGAAATTCCTGGTCGGTTAAGTCCTAGCAATTTTCGAAACATCGGCCTTATCGGTGTATTTTGCATAATTAAGCTATTTCGCGTAACTAGCCAAGCTTGCGTGGGAAACCTCTTGGAAAATGACGCGGGAGGGAGGGGGTAGGGGATACTGGAAATATCACGAGGAAGGAACAATTCGAGCTGTCTCCCTCACGTAAATATTAGATATCTTTGCCTTCTCAACTGACGCTTTCATTAGCAGACTTGTATTCCTTATATGAAATACGTTTTTGTAGCTGCGCCATATCTTTATCAGTATCCTTTCTTAGAGAATTGATCAGCCGTTATCGTCCGTTACAGATTAGAATCGAATGGAAGCGAAATGAAATTTTGATCGATTTGCTGTTTTTGAAAAAGAAAGATTTAACTCAATGCTGACGTAGTTCTTGCACGAACGGACTTATCTGTACATATCGTCGATAAAGGAAGACATGAAAAATGATGATAAACGTGATGAGCCTTCGTGATAAGACAAGTGGGTCATGTGTGTAGTCTACGTTCCACGTGTACATATGCACGTAGATACAGACACCATATCCGGCACTCTTATGACATCTGGAACTTTGTAAGGCTTTGTTGTTCGATCTTGCGGAAAATTTGCGCATTCAGGTGTCGAAGAGTGCTCGCGCCATATCCCCGGCATAACCCGAACACGAATAGATTTGCCAAAAAAGGGACTAAAAGAGAGAGAGAGAGAGGGAGATAGAAGGAAGCAGTAAGTGCGAGGACGAATGAGAAAGGAGGAAAAAGGTATGTATAAGAAGGAGAGGGGGTAAAAAGTGGAAAAGTATGGCCAGAAAAGAATGTCGTTCGCACCCGGGCGATTCGCACGTTCGCGCGATATTCCGGAAATGTCCTGCCCGCATTGCACGCTGAGCGGAAGGAGGCAATTCGTCTGGAAAATGCGCGTCTTCTGAGTATTCCGCGTTTCTCCACTTTTCGCGCCGTTAGCCAGCCCTGGCCTTGCTCACGCTTTTTCTTTGGCTGTTTCATCCTGCTTTTTCCGTTCGAACGGCCTTATTGCACGTATTAGGAATGACAGGTGAGAGAACGGGAGACACTGGGAATATATTAAATCAAATCGAGTTAAGCAATGTGCCGGCGGTGCTTTAACATCAACGTAGGTTGGATTTCATGAATCCTTAAGGGATACAGTATTACGAGGGATCATTCTAAATGCCGGAGACATAAGTACTTATATACAGGGTGTTTGAAAAATAGCGAGCATCACTGATAGGGTTGTATTTTATGGAAAAAATTTTTGAAATACATGCTTCAACTATTTATAACGCGACAGATGAAAATTTGAATATAATTAATTTTAAAGTTTGCATTTATTAGCGTTGAAGTGGATAGTCCGTTAATAATTATATACAGTATATATCATACGGATAATCTTATTAACATGAAAATAAATAATTTTTATTTTCTCTGTATATTCCAAACCGTCTTATTGATTTCGATCAAAAGCAACGATAGGTTATCCAAGGTCAAATTACCGATTCGATAACCCTCCCCACTCGAAAGTTAGAACCTCCCATGAGTATCAAGAAATGCATGAAGGTCTAAAGGGAAGATGTAAATCAAGGATATTTGGGCCCCTTTCAGCGCCCCTTTTCCCAAGACCCTAAGCGAGAATGAGTTAGGTATACGGTTATCCGAGTTATAAGGTAACAGTTCCGTGGCACCTCGTTTAGTTAATGGAATCGCGATATTCTTGGTAAATCTTCGAGAAGGTTAGAAAGTCAAGGAAAACCTCGGCGCGCGACTCGAGTGATTATCCATCCTGAGAGTTCAACGAACACGAAAGGATTAAAGAGGCGAAATGTTGTATAATGGGTTCAACCGTATTAAGCAACCTCCCTTTAAGCGTATAATCTAGAGTTCCTAGAGAAATGGGCAGGCTACGTCGGTAGGTCGGTAGGTACTACTTGCATCCAGGAGACGAATGCGCCTTCAAGTGATATATAACCGTGGTCTCGAGAGAGAGAGAGAGAGAGAGAGAGAGAGAGAGAGAGAGAGAGAGAGAGAGAGCCAAGCCCATCCATAGACCCGGTGCCGTTTTTGTTCCTGCAAGAGTTAATCCCCGCGGCGGCAAGTTTCCTTGAAAACTGCCTGAAACTCCGGTGCACTAGCTATCCGGGACTTTAGTAACGTTGGAAGTAAGTAGCGAAAAGAGGTGTAGAGAAAATAAACTACGTCGCATAATACACAGGATGGTACATGCATAGTTTAAGCGAGGAGTTATTCTCGGAACCGCCGCGCCGGTAGTACACCTTATACATTTCCTCCGCTCGCTTTCCCGTCCTTCCGTTTCTCCGACCCTGATTAAATTTATATTTCAATTCCGTTTAACGTTTCAACCAAAATAGTATATGGAAGATAATGTGAAATACTTGAACACCTTGTCCTTTGTGCGACCGGTATCGGTCTCTGTCGGCTAGTGACACGACGTGTTCCCTTTTATCTCTCTCCCTCTTCCTCTTCTTTAGGAATCAGCGCGAGGACACACGGCTTCCTGACTATCTGAAAATAGCGTCCCACTAAGCACCAAAGAGAACTGCCTCCTTCGTGCAGTAAAGTCGCGCTATTGTGATTGCTCAACCACTGAAAATCGTCCGAGCGCTAGCAGCGCCGCCAGCGGCACTACGTGCAGTTGCACGTTCATTTAGCGAACAATGAGAATCTGGCTGCTATAACGTTGCAGCGATTTCGTCCTTTCGTTGATTAGAGTTAACCTCCTTACGGTATAGAATAACAGTGTCAAACTGGACTTACATTGTACGTCGAGGAGGATGCTGGCGTTGAGAGGCGTCGCAAGAGTGACGTGTCGCGCGACGCAGGTAATCGTCGCGTTGTGATGTCCGCGAAGAACCTTAAGATGGGCGCCGCTTCGTCTGCCAAGGGTGGTTGGTAAGATTGTCAGATTGTCCGGGGGTTGCTGTGGACCGTCGAGGGTGGCTTGCGAGAGTGTCATACCCCAAGCGAGAACGGGTGGTGGATTCCCACCCTCTGCAGCACATTCCAAAGTCAGTTCAGAACCCTCCTTAACGGGGACGAACTGGTTTCCTGGATCTAAGCGACGGCCATCTATCAACAGATACGTCCCCCGAGGTGCCTCTGGAACAGAAACAATAACAGCTTTTTCATTTTCGAAAGTACCACGTTGAAAAATCACTGAAGATCTTACAGATCGCCTAAGGAATCAACAGCAAAGGTTCACTGAATATGATCGCCACGTTAAGTCGAGACAGCTGTGTCCAAGTTGAAATTTTATCCTGGGGCATTTTTTTTCTAAAGTATTACAAAAAAATGTAACAAGCGTCCAGTATATGCCTCAGCGTATACCCAAATACGTAATTACTTGGTTAGTATTCAGGCTGATCTGAAAACTCCATCTTGGATTTGCTTTCAGATATCGTTATAAATCACTTAAGATGCCCGAAAAAAGTTTTCCAGGTATGTTCTATGGATGTTATGAAAACCAAATTACTTCAAGCGAGAGATTGACGAAATTTTATTAAAACAAAAATCAAGCGTTACGTTCATTAAACTAGAACAATGAAGTCTCCCACTCGGACTGGATTTTTCGAATTGATCCAGAGTCGAAAAGGTAAATTAAGGGTCGGAACCACCAATAGGGTTCCAGTGTCGTTTTACGGGTTACTCCTGAAACTCGGTCAAACTTTTCGGTATCGTTAGGTATTCTCAGTGTTGACCACCTATACAGACCCAGCTCCTGCACTTAGGGCACGTTGGTAAGACCGCCATACTAAGGAACTTGAAACCAGTAGGCCGTTCACGTTGCGCTCTGAAAAGCCCGTAACAATAACTAGTTAACTGGTTACAAGTCCCAGAGGATGGTGCCCCTTTACTCTTAGCCAGTTATGCCAGTGCTCGAATTTCCGTCCTAGACCTAAATAGCATACTACTATTTCACGCATAGCTGAAGGAGCTGATATTTACTTGTTCATATAGTATATACTCGAAAATTGAAAATTTCGACTGTCTAGGTAAAGTCACACTAACAGATGACCATAGTCCACGACTTCACTTTATTTCGTAATGAACACAAAAAGAAACAGCGCCATTCCGCAAATAAGACGCGAACGAACTTTGTTTTCCGTGGTCTAGCTGGCTTGCGCTTTTATCCCAAGTAATTTCATTTCGGATTCTCTTCATCTCTGCTTCTAAACCCTCCCCACCCTTATTCCACCAGCCACAGCCATATTCTCCCTTCCCTACGAAACTCACCCACTCCGTCCTATAACCATTCTACGTATACGGCTACATGACCTATACCGGCGTCCCTTGTTCGATCCATCCGATCTAGCGTTTTCATTAAAATTTCCCGCGCTACCGTTCTTTCTTTACTCGAGACAGTCGCTTGACTGGAAGTATCTTGATAAATAGAAAGGGCCACTAAAAACAGTGATAGATGGTCACGAAAAATGTTTCTAGAATTTTCGTATCTATTCTAGTAGAAGTTTTCCAGATGAACGTAAGAAAAATGCTAATTCCTTGCTGTGGGACATTTCTTTTGTCCACCTGTTATATTACTGTTACAAGTAATTCTCATTTTTACGTGAAATAGCGCGCGCAAGTAAATTACTCGAGTTACTAAAAATATAGCAACTATAAATTGGTAAAAGTGCCTCAACTCTTTTGTACCCATTACGATAATACTTATTTAATGAATTAAAAAAAAAAAAGAACGTGATATCACAATATCGAGAATCGTTAATATCTAGATGTATCAGCAAAAGAATAAAGTAGTATATATACAGATATACAAGGGTGAACCAAAAAGTTGGTCTCTTTCGCGGGATTCTCGTTAATCGTAAGAATTCGCACGAAATCCAGGATTTCGAGGCTTCCCAGTCACGTTGCCAGGACGACCTCGTTACTTCGGCTGGCAATAAAGATCCATAAGACTGGATCTTAAATCGAGAGATTTCAAAGCGACAGAGGATTATTGTGCGGCGTGAGTTTGCCGAGAGTAGAAGAAAGTACTCGGAAGATAAGAACTATACGGGAGAAACTGGAAGAAACGAAAATATGAGAATAGTAAATGATGTCGAAGAAGGAAAAAAAAAAACCTTAGCGGCACGACGATAAGGACGATACGAAAGAAATTCCAAGAGGTCTGGGAAGAGTGGTAGAGAAAAGTTATGATCCGTACTGAAATTCCAACAACCGTACAGCAGGTGTTAATACGGAAACATAACGTGGAAGCTGCCCTCGTATTCCCAAGCTCTCAGGGGCGCATTTGGCGCACGCGGCGCCACGCTGCCCCCCTCCCCTCTGGGCATCCCCCTAACCCTGCGCGTACAGTCCGTAAAATTTCATAATATTCGACCCACGGTCTTACAGTCCCGAATATTCAAAGCATTGCAGAGGATATCTGTCCGGGAAGAATTACCCGTGTGCTTTACGCCTCGTAAAATATTTAACGATGCCAGTTGCAATTGGCAATAGGTAGCAAACGCATGTCGTTCTTCGCTATAATTCGCTGAATGGTAGAGACTCGTAAATGGTGCGTGGTCCAAAGTAGCGACTCCGTCTTTCCAGTATCCATGAAAATTTTACAGATGAGAAAGTTGGATAAAAAAAAATAATAATATCCGATCATTACACAATATTGTTCGTACGGTTATATAAGTATCGAGGATACGTCTCGTTGTGCAGTGCGATAGACAGGCTCGATCTAAAATTCCCTTAGAGAGTGTAACCGATAAAACTTTTGAAATTCGCGCCACGGGAATCGGTAGACGAAGCGGAAGTGAGAGGCAGCGAGTTTACTCAAAATCCTGAAACCCCGCTTTCTCGCGGGTTTCCGGGAATTTTAAGTGGCGTGGCTAAGCGTTCACCGAGAACTGGAGCAACCAGCAGTTTTACATTGCCGCTCGGAGAAGAATGTTTTCCCCAAAAGTTATCCGGCCGGGAGGGGATAACCTAAATGGAGAAGGAATTTAGTCAACGGGATACTTCCGCTACTAGGTTTGACTATCGATTTGCAATTAAGCACAGCCGCCACTTTGGAACAAAGCATACTACCGAAAGGGTCAGCCCAGTTCACTGTCCATTCGGTTCACAATGAAAAACGTCCAACTGGCAAACGTGACTCTGGAACTCGCAATGAAACAGAATATATAAAAAAAAAAGTCTCTGAAAGGCCCATTCACAATCATGCAATTGATAAAAAAAAAAGTAATTTAACAAATACATATCCCATAGCAGAAATACTCCTTTTCGAAGAATGTCAGCTGTAAAGGTAAAAGGGTGGCTATCGATAAAAAGTGGCAGTAAAGGGTAAAACTCGATGAAATCCATAACGAAGTGGCTCTCGAAATGGTAACCGTAACGGGCATGGAAACGGGATGAAGTGTGCCTGAAAAACATTCGCCATACCAATCCAATCGGGCGTGGAACTCCAGAACGATCGACTGTCTGGGCGATGTCTCCTCCAATAATCATCCGGATTGGTTCCAGCGGCCCAATAAATAGACAAGATTTAGCGACGTCCAAGTCTCCCTCTTCATCACCCACACGTAGCAATCCTGATACCTCTTGCAGGGGACACAGCCAGCCCTCTGTCGCTGACTTCATAAGACCACACGCATCACTGAGTTCAATCGGGTTTGCCGTCGTGGCTGTATTTGGTGCGGAAAGATTAGCTAGCTTTCTCCTCTCTCCCTAGAAGTCCGAAAGGCGTGCCTATACTTTCTATTCAGCCGATCCAGCTAACCTTCTATTTGCCTCGCACGTACGCATCTATCGCCCTCACCTTTTATATATTGGCCCTTGGGTATACATAGGAACCCGGTACCTCCATCATCTCAGTCCATTAATACACATTAATCTATGCTGACGTTACACTTTTGCCGTATTACGTCTACGCCGTCGACGTTTACTTCCAGCGAGCGCGAACGGGAATTGCTGAGTAAATCTTGCGACGCTGCAAACGCGTGTGTATAGACAGTCGTATTAACGAGTAACAGATCCTGTCCAGGGGACTCGTTTACTTTGAAAGACATATGAAGATGGCCCCTTCAAAAGCTATTTCATTCGTGGACAGATTACAGGTTGGGAGCAATGACTTTATAGTGAAGAGGGTGTCAACGACCTATCTTCTGCCAATTGACAATTTCCCGTTCCAGGGACCGTACTTACATTAGAAATGAGGGTGGGTATACAGGTACATTGTAAAGGGTAACTGGTATATATAGGAGGATCATATTAGGAACCCTTATACGACGTGACGCCCTTCGTGTGTATTTATCATATCGTATGGATCTCCTAAGTCCTTCGTATGCCAAACGTCCCTTATTTGGGTTGAAAATATTGAAGAGTAAATTTTTAAGGGAAAAGCATTAAGAACCTACGTAACTTTACAACGAGTGGCCTTCGAATAAATTTAACATTTCGACTACGATCCGTCAAGTGATTTGACTCTCGATGTCCCTCGAACGTCTTTGAGATGTCCCTTGTGCTCCTTTCCCGTTTAATTTCATTCTCAATGAACCGGTAGCGGGTGGTTAGTGATACGTAGTAGGTGTAATAGGTGCACCCCCCACCAAACGGGAATATACTCCACCCTCTGTCCTGCCACCACTTATTAAGCTACTTACTTCACTTTCCCCCTTCGACACGCGCTTCTTACTATAAGTACTTTCTACACCCTCCGTAAATAACACACTCGGCTGCTGGGGTTTTTCGCGAATAGCACTTAGTCTAATACGAGTAATCAATTTCAATGAGGGAACGGAAAGACTGAAGTGCCTTGACGGTCTAGGGGTTAAACACTCATACTGAATAGGGTAGTTATTAGTGCTTGTAAAACGAGGTAAAAATACTTATACGTTACGAGAATATTACTATACGCTATAGTGTCGCGTGTATCTGATTACGATTAGGTGAGATGTACACCCTCACTTGATTACTGACATTTTCACAACTACATATATGTACATATTCACCAGGTCATTGATCTTTCGTTAGACATCATTTTACGTATATAATTTTAGACTATAGTCCGAGGAGCGCAAGGGTGGGTCCGGTACGTAATAACGTGTAATTGAGCGTAGAAACATAATTTCTCAAAATCCGGTGAAAACGCA